TTTGGTTCATACTTTCGGAGCATATGCCCTTTTCCTCCGGTGCGTCTAAACCGGCGGTTCAGCTGGTGTGTCCCCCCACTAAAGAACCTGGTCCTACAGTTCTCCAATCTCAGGTTCCGGTTCGAATTCAGCCTTTCATGTGATACCGTCAAAGATCACTACTACTCCCCAACTCGGGACTTGCCAAGCAGATTCCAGAATCTTCTCATTCCTTGGTGTTACCAACACTACCAGGACATCCTATATCTACTCGGCAGTACGCAAACACCTGATAGTGACAACTTTCTAATACAGAGCATTGGTGTGACCCAAGGTTACAGGTTAATTTAAGCCCCAACTTAATGAAGATCTGTTACCATAACACAAGTTTATTTTTCAAACTTTCATCATCCGTGGGATTTGAACCCTAGACCTGCTACTTGGAGAGGGTGACAACTTGACCACTTCACTAAGCCACCACACCTCTTTATATTACCATTTATATTAAGTATATAATAATATACTTGATATTTGATATAATCACAAGAAAAATTAAACATTTTGTATTCTGGCAAATTTGTCACTCGATCGTATAAACCCTATTATGAAATACACTATATGGGATCTCGACTCACTGCTCACATGGTCAATAGCTAATTTCTAGCATCGCTTTTTTTTTTTTTTTTTTACTCTCTTTGATATCCGATTTGTTTAATCAGGCTATCAAATTCTCCCTTCAATATCCAGGCTTACACCCGGGCTACCGAACTACTTCTAATACATCATTCTGTCTACAACTATTCAATCTCTTCCCCAGCAGTGGGGAAGGGTAAAGCTAGACTTGAGTCGAGCTAGCAGTAAAAATGAAAAAGGGCGAACAAATTTCTAATTTTTCTCCTTATATAGTTAATTTCTATGACCTCATACTTGCCATTACTCATTAATCAAACAATACTATCATACGATTTATTAAACTATCTACCATCACTTAATACATCATACTAACGTCACTAATCATTTATTTGTTATTATGGGTATGGGTCCCGATCTCGTGACAAATGAATGTCTTGTGACTTCGTTTACAGCATTTTAATTGTTGATTTTAACAGAGTTTACTTGCCATTTCAGTATAAAAAAAATCACAATGTTTAGTATATATCGATAAATAAGCTACTGACTACTTTACTGACTTAATTATTAATTGAAATCTTTAAAGTAAGCTGCTTACCTCTTGTTAATAATAATTACCAATCAAAGTTTTTTACGTACGTACAAACATACCTTTTTTTTTTTTACTACAAGTATTTACAAAGCCATGTTGCTGTATAAATAAATATTATAAATATTGATTCAATAAAGTTTTTCTATATATAGAAAAAAAAAGTGTGTGGAAAATCAAATACTTGAGCATACTTGCAAAGTGCCTTTCATAGAAAGTACGTATGCGGGCTGATATGTCATATACATACTATATATACAATCAAGACATTAGAGTATAACTTAAACTGGTTCCAATTCAAGTATCCATTTTTGTGACAAACATAGAGGCATGCATTTGCATGATTAAGTAGAAGTTTGGAGATCTTCTTCTTTGTGCGTCCAAGGAAAAAAACTATAAAAAAAGTCTTTAGTTAGCTGTTAGATAACAAAAAAACAATTGCAACACTTTGAACTGTATGTGCCCCTAATAAACTTTAGTATATTAAAACATAAACGATAAACTATTTCTTACTTCTTGACCAAAAGTTTATTCTTTGAATAGCGGTTTTTTTTTATTAATAAAAAAAAAAAAACTTATCCACTTTTTATGTATGTACGCCTAAATTTCAAATAACAAATAAGATCTGATAAAAAATTTTTTTTCATTTTTTTTTTTTGCGGTATGTTACTTGTGGAACAATATAAAAAGCCTTTTACACTGTATTTTACTATTCTTGCTAACTTTCGCGTTTCGCGTTTTTCATTATGCCTCCTGGACATGTATTAAAGAAAACACATAGCCGACTTAGTAACGTCCAACATAAAGAAATATGTGAATATTCTAAAGTGCACCCAATGGATAGACACCAAGACATTGCAAATGTGTTTATGGGAAGATACTCTGAACTAAAACTTGATAGGTCAACTATAACTAAGACTTTGAAAAAAAGTAAACAATATCTTTTGCTTGAAGAAAATGCGGCAGAACAAAATCGATACAAAAACAAGTCACCAAAGTATCCTTCGCTTGAGACAGCGATGACAATTTGGATGAATCAAGTTTCCGCTGCTGGTATAGTCCTTACAGATAATTTGGTGAAATTAAAAGGTCATGAGTTTGCCAATTACCTTGGCATTTCTGAGGATGATCTTAAGTTATCAAATGGGTGAATCACAAACTTTAAGAAATGAAATTTTTTATGTCAGTACAGATTTAGTGGGGAAGCTGCGAGTGCACTATTGGAGTCTTTATCAAATGAAAGAATTAAGTTAAAACAGATTTTTTCTCAATATGAACCTGAAAATATTTATAATGCCGATGAAACCGGGTTGTTCTATCAGATACTACCACATCAAATATTGGCAAGGCAAGTGGTTTCTGAAAAAAAAAAGTAAAAAATTTAGCTTTTGTCTTTTTGAATAAAATTAGCACTGTAATTAATTGTATGTTATTGTGTTACTATTTAGGATAAATTACAACTTACTGTGCTGCTGGCTACAAATATGTACAAATTTTGTCCTCTCTTTATTGGTAAATCAAAAAACCCGATCCTTCAATGGTATAAAGATATCACAACTTCCAGTTATGTATAAGAATAACGATCATGCATGGATGAGGTCAGATATTTGGAAAGACTGGTTAAAATTTCATGATAAAGGCTTTCATATTTAGGGCAAAAAAGTCTTGCTTTTTGTAGACAATGCTAGGTCCCATAGTGCATCTGAATCATCTAATTCTTGCATTGATAACAATAACAATGAAGCCCAAGAGACTAAAAAGAATCAATCTGATCTTGAAAATAATGAAAGTGGTGAGGTTCCTAATCTTGAAGATGATGGTCAATCTGATTTTTAACCATGCAAGGAACCACATAGTAAACCACACGGAAGAGAGAGACCATGTAGGAGACCATGAACAACATCATATAGAAGGTCTAATAAAAAATCGCAAAAAAAAATAATACTGCCAGCAAACCACTTAAGCTCACAAATATTAAAGTTCATTATCTTCCATCTAACACTACTTCGCATCTACAACCCATAGATGTTGGAATAATTCAGTTGTTTAAATCTAAATACAAAAAGCTTTATTGCAGGCATATTCTTAATCAATTCGAGTCTAATATTGATATGGAAAAGTTAGCAGAATCTTATATTCTGTATTATTTTTACTTATTTTTTTATTTTTAACTTTTTTTTTTTATACTTACAGTAATAAGCTAAATGTAAGGCAAGCAGTCAATTTTATTGCAGAGTCTTGGTGTGATGTAACTGATATAACCATTCAAAATTACTAGTGTAAAACAGGAATCCTTCTAGATGTAAGTGAGACAGGAATCCTTTCGGATGTAAGTGAGACAGAAATGGAATTTGAATATCAAGAATCTGAAAATAATCTAGATGATGATAAGCTTGCAGAAATTATTGTCGACTTGTCATATAGCGATGATGCCGAAGCTTTTAAAGTAGCTCAGGCCATAGAAAGATATATTCAAATTATCAATAAACCTATTGCAACAGAAGGATTGCTCGAAGATAATGAAATAATTGCCATGGTTCAAGCTGAAGAAAATGATCAACAACAGGAAAGTGATGATGACGACGAAGAGCCTCCACCTCCACCTGTAACAACTACAAAGATACATAATGCAATAAAGACTGTTTTACGCTATGAAGAGCAGATTAATTCAGAATCTAACCTTGAGCTCGAAGAATTAGAATTTTTGCAGAAAATAAGTAATAACTATCCCTTAAATTGTTTTGCAGCCAAATTTGCCTGCAAACTTTTTTAAATTTTAAAATTTTTTAATAAAATTT